CCCCAAAACCCCAAAACCCCAAAACCCCAAAACCCCGAAACTTAGGAAAGGCTGAAACTTCTGAAAAATTGTTAGTTTCCAGTACGATTAAACATTTTAGAAATTTTATTGGATTTCTTGGTAGAAAAGATACTTTTAAATGATCCTTTGCGAAGTTTCTTTGTTGATTTCTTCCTGTAGAGGGACTCTTTCTCCTTGTCATATGTACTGATCAAGTTTGAAGTTGAAACACTCTGTAGAAGGTTATTAAAGAATTTACCTGCTGAGTGGGATTTAAAGTAGCTTCATTTAATTTCTTTTTCATTGTGCGGTGATCTCGTTCAGCTATCATTTTTCGTACCTCTTTTCGCTCTTCACTATCAATGCATTGCTCGAGGAGTTGTCTTTTTCTGGTTGACATTTTTCCAAATTCGATTTTAGGTGAGCTCAATCTATTCTTTTTAGGAGGTGGCTTTGGTTTTGTCTCTTTTATTTTAAGCAAATCACCTTCTTTTGTCTTTCGATGGAACTGATTCCGTCTTCTCTTGATCCTATCAGAGATTTTCTGAAGCTTCGCTAGTCTCTTCTGCTTCTCCAATAATTTTCTCTGAATTTCTTCAGCTTTTTGGTCCATTTCTTGGTAGATTTCCTTCTCAAGCTCTTTATTTGACCTCTTCAGCATCTGCTTTGACTTGCTCAACATTTTCTTGAAGAAAATTGAAGCCTGCTTCTATTTCACTAACTTTTGACTCTTCTTCAGCACAGGAGTTTGCTTGGAGAGAATAAGTATAGCTTCGCTTCAGCTCTTCTCTCTGAAGCAAAGGTGTCCCTGAAGAGCAATTCTGTGAGCTCCGCTCAGCTGCTCAGCACTTTTGCTCTTCAGTTTGGTCATTGTAGGAGATATCTGAAACATCGAGCTTGTCATGCACTTTGTGGACACCTTCATCATCTGGGTTATAGTCATCATCCTCCTTCTTTTGTAAGATTTCATTGATTTCTTCCTGAATCTTTTCTACTGATTTTATGGGTTCTTCGTAATTCAGTGGCCTGCTGACACTTAAGTTTTGGACTTCATGAAGAGTGATCGAATCATCAGATTTAGCTTGGTCATTAAGAGATTGGATGAATCTCTTCCGATTCTTGATAGCCTCATTTCCATTGTAATTCAGCATGGTCTTTTTGGTGTTATGAGATCTCTTTTTATCTTCTTCCTTTTGAGCCATTTTTGCTTTGCGCTCTTCTTCAGGGTCAATGAACACAATTTCTGTTTCAGTGCCAGGATCCTCAAGTGTTTTAAACTCTTCATTTCTATTCCCTACTAGAGCAGATGCGTTTGAGGAGTCAGCTTGACTTTCTTTAAGAAGATTAGCTTTAAGCTCTATTTTCTTCGCTGCTAGCTTAATTTTTATCAATCTTTTCTCCAAGATTCTGGGAGATTAAGCCTTCTAATCCATCAGTGTCACTATAAAATTTTGATAAAGAATGTTACTTGTTTTTGTCAAGGTTTAGGAACCTCTTAAAGACGGAGAGATCTTTGGATTTCTCAACTTCTTCTCACTCAATTTCATTGTGCAAGCAATTACTGTTAATGACTTCATCAGATTCCTCATCATCCTGCACTGGATTTGCTGAAAATAATTTATTTGCGGGAGTGGTATATTTACGCTTCTTTTTCTTTGGCTTCTTCTTAGGCTTTACCTTTCCTTTCTTGCGCCAGTCCCCTTCAAAGTCACTTAGCTTGTACATGCCTGCTTTGACTTGTTGGTAGAGCTCTTCGTAGTCAATGTCTGAGTAATCTCCTTCTTCGGAGTAATCTTCTTCTGTGAAAACTTCCTCGCTTGACATTTAAATTTAAAATTGTTCAATTTTACTATTTAGAAGGGGTTTTGGGGTTTTGGGGTTTTGGGGTTTTGGGG